TAAGTTTTGGGTTTTTGTATTTTAATATTTAGAGTAGAATTTTTTAAGCCACTTTATCCCAAGTATTAAGGAATTATCTAGTAATAAGAAATTACCCACAATCTACTAAGGTCTTTGATATTCTCTGACTCATCAAAAACCACAGGCCTCCAATCCCTGAATGAGTCTTTTTTTTGCACCTGACTTTTTTGTCTCATCATGATGCTTTCAATGTTCATCTATGGTATATTGTGCCCCAATACTTCATTCCCTCTTATAGTTGCATAATGTTCCACTCTAAGGAATTACAACATGTTTTAATCCATTAACAGCTGATGAAAATTTGGGTTATTTCTGTGTTTGGTTTATTGATAATAATGCTATTTTCATGTTTGTGTACATGTTTTTAAGGCAACACACTTTCTCTTCTCTTAGTATGAAATAAAACAACAACAACAAAAAAACCCTATGACTTCTACTAGGATTAGAATTTCTCAGTCAGAAGTGAAACTTTTTGAAGAACTTTCAAAAGGATTTCCACAGTGACTACACAAATTTACATTCCCACCAGAAATGGATGAGGGATTCAATTTCTCCATATTTTGCCAATATTTGTTGTTTTTCATTAAAATTAGCCATTCTAATGGTTGTGAACTGGTATCTCATTGCAGTTCAGACTTCTATTTCCCTAATGACTGTGATGACAGGCATTATTATGTGTTTGAGATTACTTTACATCTTGTTCAGAGAAAGATCTATTCAGATCCAGTGCCCATTTTAAAATTGAGTTATCTTTTGTTATTGATTCATAAGAGTTATTAATGCATTCTGAATACTAGACCCATAATAGCTATAAATTTGCAAATATTTTCTCCCATTTTTTAAGGGAGAAAACACAAGCTGGGGTTAATGGGGGATGAAGGTAGAGAAGCAGGCTGAAGTCTAAACTGGGAGATTGCCAATGCCAGGCGTACATTGAAGGGGGAAATGGGTTTTAATGTTTGGGATACAAAATCTCAGAAAGAGACACCTTATATTTTAGATTCAGTGAGAGACAAGGTTGAAGGTAGGGAGATCAGCTGGGCGATTGTGGTAGGAGTTCAGGCCAAGAGCCTGAAGAAAGAGGGAATGAATTTCAAGGTATCAGGAGGCAACATCAGCATAACTAGGTACCAATATTTGGGGATAAAGTTATGTTTGGATTTGTTGCTTTGTCTGTCAGGTGGACAATTGGATCCAAGCCTGACCTGTAGGGGGTGAGATGGCCAGGGGTTTTTCTAAACATTCTACATTGTGTCATTTGAACTTCAACATTTTCTAATTTTCATATAGTTGAATATCTACTTTTTTCATTTTTTTTGTATTTATGTCTTGTATATAAGAGACCATTGCCCAATCCAAGTCACAAATATTTACCTTTATGTCTTGATATATAAAGTTTTCATTTTCATTCATCTCAAAATAGGTTATAATTTTCCTAGTAGTTTCTCCAGTGCACTCTTGGATATTAGGAGTATGTTGTTGTTAGTTTTTTTTATTTCTACATATTTTTTCATTTCTCAAAATTTATCATGTAATTGAACTTTTTCTGCTCATGACATATGACTCACAAAACTTTAGAAGTAATGAAATGAGGTTGCCATTTTAAAGCCAAGTTTTTAAAGGAAATGCCTTTATAGGAAAGCAAATGACTACTCTCAATTGCAGTAATTTACAGGCCAATGTGTTTTGATTTTAATCTGGTTAGAGGTGTCAGTACAGCTAAGGAAAGACGATTTTCAGCCATGAATGTATGGATAAAAATAGAGGGACTTTCTGAGACAACCAACATAGTTTTTCCCAACACTTTTCAGAGGGGTATTTTCCTGTCAGGCTAGTAGAATCTGGTTAGCTTACACATGTTATTCAAATAACCAAAACTTTTAATCTTAATGAAGATGTACCTAAAGCACCTACTAATAATATGATTTCTAATCTAATTATGATGCTATAACTACTGATTTGTTTTACTATCATCTATGTTAATGTATTTTGACAAATTTCTTTTGAGTTTCTTGAAATTACCAACAAGTTAGGCTGTCTAAATTTTTGAGTCTGCAGGTCTGAACTTAAACTGGGACAACTTAATAACTTAATATGAGTTATGAAACTTTCTGGTGATTGGACAACTAGATGTCCTGTCCTAATCATTCCATTCAGGACAGCTTTGTACATAGTAAGTATTTTTTTTTCATTAAAATTTTCTCTAATTCCCTTCCTCCTTAATATGCAGTCATGTCCATGAGGCCAGAGATATTCTTTATTCTCCTTTATGTGTGCAAAATATCTGGCATAAATTAAGTGAAAAAAATTGCTGAAATGACTGTGTTGTGTTGCTTTGAATTGAACAAAACAGAATGTTTCTATAGTTAAATTACAAATTAACATATGTGTTTGTAATATCACTTATATTCTTTACTTGCTCTTTTTTTATTCATTAGTGAACATTTTAATGTTACCCTAATTAATTTGAAAGCTGTCCTGGAACAGGAGATTGACTTTTGTCATTTTATTTAGGACCCTGCATTGCCCCTTAGGATGATTTTCATAAAGTCCATTTTAAAACAACATTAGTTTATTAAAGGAGCACCCAAGGCAGTAATCTCACACATGGATAACTAAATGTAAAAACAAGATAGCATTGTCAGAATGCATTGACCCACCTAAACTGAGACTTAGAGATGAGCAAACACCTTTTCCACCTGCTTCCTACCCATAACTCCAAATATATAATTAAAAAAATAGAACTTACCTGAAAATCAATGTTTGGTATCATAACCTCTTTGTGACACTTAATGCATGTACTTTCATGTTGAACTTTTGTTACTATTTATAGCTGTAGGAAGAGCTGTGTGTTATGAGCTAGAATAATATTTTTTTAGGGTCTTCAAGTCTATTCTAAGTAATAAAAATGAAACACACAATCATGTCTTGAGTCTGAAGCTTACAACTATGAACTTGAGTCTGAAGCTTACAACATAGAATACTTCCCTTGGCTTGAATTAAGTAAAGCAGTGATGACAGTGCCAGTTTCTGTGGCTGATAAATGAATATCAATACTGAGCTTATTTCCTTCTCCTGTTCTTTCCATCATTTGATGACATACTTCTGAAGTCTCAAAGTTTGAGATAAAGAGAAATAGGCAACATATTTTCTTATTACCAGTTTACATGTTTTCTTTGACTACTTTGAATTTTGTACTCTTCAAGAGAAGCTAGTTAAACAAATTCACTATTTGGACATTCTATAGTCATTTTCAATTGATGGTGGGCTTACTATTGATGATGTGAAATTCGTGTGCAAGTGGCATACCATTTCTGAAGACAGTGTATAAGTAGTCCTGTGAAAAACTATAGACTTGGTTATATTTATTGATGTTATTTGTTTCAGAGCCAAAGCAGCAAAATTCAGTTCTGTATTTAATATTATACTATTCTATGTGTTTAAAAATTAGGAATAATAAGTAATAAGTATAATAAAGTTCTTACAAGTGTCAATGCCTTATTGCTAAATGTAGACTTTTTGCATCTATTTATAGGAATAAAGTTATTAGCTAAAATAATTATGAACTAAAATGGAGAAAGTGTTAAGAATACCTGCAGAGAAACCTGTAAAGAAGCAGACAAAGCACAGACACATGCACATTTAGAAGCAGGCAGACAAGTGGTGGCTCCTCCCTAACATCATGTTTATTAACTCAAAAAAGGTTACATATTACCCATTACAATGACTACATTCTAACTAGTATTCCTTTAACCCTGAGTGCTAGCTGAGAGAAGATCCAGGTTAATACAAACACAGAGCCTCTTTCCTCCGAGGACATTAGCATGGAAAGCAGGTAGTGCACCTGCATAGTTATCCTAATAGCTTCAAGGGGAAACTGCTGGGAATTCCAAGCCTGAGAAACAGGGTTTCCTTGTGAAGAACATTGCTATAGTAGCCAGGCATCCGGTGCTTTTGCACAGGAGTTTCCCAGTAGCCAGGAATTCTGTGTCTTTGCAAAGAAAATTCCTAGTTACCAAGCATGTCACAATCTCAAAGTTTGTCAGAGACCCCAATCCCAAACACAGAACTCCCACAAGAAAGCTATATGAGCACTTTTAGAGTCTTCATACAGCCTGGTGTGTCAAAGCAAATTCTATTTTTAATCAAAAAAAAAATCAAAGCTATGTTCTTCTCTGTGCTACCCAAATTGAGCCACATGTGTTATCTAGTCTTGTTTAATATGAAGCTGATATTAAAATACTACAAAGAATACTTTAATGTCTATAGAAAGGAAAATGATTTAGGAATTTTGATATATGTAGTTGTAGTATATATAATTGTTTAATATATGCAGTTATTTTATTTTATTTATTTTAGGAAAGATAATGTTATATACAGAAGTTTTAGTTAGCTTTTTCATCACTGATGACAAGATTTGACAAGAACAACATAAAGGAGGAAAAGTTTATTTGGAGCTCAGTTCAGAGGTCTCAGTCAACAGATAATTGATTCTATTGCTCTGGGCCTGAGGTAAGGCAGAACATCAAAGAAGAGTGTGGAGGAGGAAAGAGGTCAGAACATGGCAAACAGGAAGCAGAGAGAGTGAGCTTCAGAGAAAATATAAAACTCAAAGGTTTATCCCAGGGGCCTTTCTCTTCTAGTGACACCCTACCTGTCTTCAGTTATATTATCATCGAGTTGGTCCATATCAGTGTATTTATGTACTGATTAGGTTAAGGCTCTCAAAACCCAATCATTTCACCTGTAAACTTCCTTGTATTGTTTCACACCTGAGCTTTTGGGGGATACCTCATACCTAACCCATAACATAGAATATAGGAACTAGTAGCATAATGTGAGATTCTGCACTGCCCTTACCAACTTTTAGACACTTGATTCAGGCTCCAAAACAATTAAAGTCTACTTGTTATAGAAACAATAGTAACAATCATATGTACTGAGTATAAAACCAAGAAGTAGGGATTTGTGATCCTTTCTCACAGTTGTCTAGAAAACCCACTTGGAACCAATATTCGGCTCCTTAGCTTCTTCATGGCTTCCTTAACATCTTTATTCCTCAGAGTGTAAATCATGGGATTAAGGAAAGGAGTGAAGACAGTAAAAAAGACAGAGATAAATTTATCAATTGGAAAGCTTTCAAAGGGCCAGATATAGATAAAGATTAATGGACCAAAGAACAGAACCACAACAGTAATGTGGGCTGACAGGGTGGAAAGTGCCTTGGACATCCCACCAGAGGCTTGGTGATGAACAGTAGCAAGAATGACAGTGTAAGAAATGAGTAAAAGGAGGAAACAGATAAGTGAGAGCAGACCACTGTTGGTGAGTACGAGGATCTCCAAAACATAGGTGTCTAAGCAGGCAAGTTTAATCACTAGGGGAAGGTCGCAGAAAAAATTGTCTACCTTATTGGGTCCACAGAAGGGAAGATCAACTGTGAATGCCAGGTGACTGGCTGAGTGCAGGATGCCAATGGCCCAAGAGACTCCCACCAGAACAGTGCAGACCCTTCGGCTCATGATGGCCAGGTAGTGCAGAGGTCTGCATATAGCAATATATCTATCATAAGCCATGGCAACAAGAAGCACCATTTCACTGCCCCCAAAAACATGCAAGAAAAATATTTGTGACATGCATCCCTGGAAAGTGATGGTCTTACGTTCACTGAGGAAGTCTGCAATCATCTTGGGAGTAGCAAATGTAGCCTGACACACATCAATGAAGGAGAGATTGCTGAGAAGAAAGTACATTGGAGAATGTAAGCGAGAGTCTGTAATTACTGTGAGGATGATAAGGATGTTTCCCAACACTGCAGCCCCATAAAACACAGAGAAGACTATAAAAAGGACAAGTTGGAGTTCCTGAGAGCTGGACAGGCCCAACAAAATGAATTCAGTAACCACTGACTTATTGCTCCATCCATTAACTGAGTCTGGGTTGTTGGAGTTATCTAGAAGAAAAGAAAACAATAATTAATAAGGATAAGCCTCTTGCTACTTATCAAGAGAAATAGAAGATTTGATTCTAATAAATATAAAAATAATATTGTGAGGCTAAAAGACACTGTGTATTCACATTATTGTTAGAAATTGATATTTTATATGAATTATTCTTTATTTTTTTCATTATGGATTGGAATGATAGACAGATAGGTAGCCAGAATTATCTAACAAATAAGTCTATAGGGAAGTAGGGAAGTTGAGGTATACCAGGATTTGCAAATGTATTCTAATTATGTTTTTGTAAAAATATACAAAATTCTCAACACCACTTTGAAAGTCACACTTACTTTACTTACACATTCAGATTTTGAATAGTTGAAAATAAGTCTAGTGCCTTCTATAAAGTCTTGGAGAAAGAGAAAATCTAGGCTAAGTATAAGGAGATGGAAGTCATCCCAGTTACTTCAGTAAATGTTATCCGAGAAAAGAATCTAATGTAGCCATGTATTTGAGCATCTGCAGTAATAAGATCAGGAAGAAATTTTAATTTTTAACAAGCTAAATTGGTGTGAGAGACAACATTCACCTTTCTGTGTTAAAATATTTTGAAGTTTACAATAGTGAGTTAGACAATTTAGTATACATTATTTTTAATCAAAAATGGTTGCTTTAGTATCACAGTCATATCTTTTTGATTCTCAAAATGATTTACATTTTGTCTAAGTTGAATTTAATATTCTTTAATTGATCAGACATCTGCTCCTCAAAAATAGGACTAAATGCAATTTTAGTGAGCATGACATATTTGCTAATTAAATTTAATTTAAGTTACTTTGCTAATGATTTTATGAGGTAATCTATATATAATGTTATTTCAATAACAAAATTGCTTCCCCAAACTTATTGAATAGTATCACTGATGTAATTAATTTATTCAACAAATAAATATAGATTCTCTCCTCTGAACCATGCACTCTTAAAAACTCTAAGACAAAGCAAGGGCAAAAAATGAAATAGAAAACTATCACATCTTTATATAGCTTATATTTTAATAATAGCACTGGCAGAGAACATTAAAAATAAATAAGTAAAATAGTATTATATCAATTAATGATAAGCACTAAGGAAACAATCAAGGAGAACAAATGAATATGGACTATACCCAGATTGTCAGAAAACACCTCATTAAGATGTCACACTTCAGACCAAGGACAATGTGATATGAGCCTTGAAGAAATCTACTGCAGACAAACAGAGAAGAAAGCATGTTCAATAATTCATCTATGTGAAATTGGCAGTATTTTGGAAGACTATTATAAATGAATTAAGTGGAAATTTAACTTTTAACCTTACTATAAACTGAATGGAAAAATTGAGCTTTTTGAAAAATATTCTCCCTCATAGGTTTAAATATGTTTATAATTTTAAGAAGCTATAAATTTAGTTTTGAAATGAAAAAGCACCCTAAAATCTAGACTGCCAGTTTTTAAGAATGAAATGTAGGTATAAGATTGCTTTCCAAATTTTGTATACCCCCACCCCCACCACACACAAACACATAGATATGTACATATATATGTATGTATCAATATATACAATTTGAAAACAATTTTATATTTTCATATAAATGCATAATGTTATTCTTACCATTTAAAATAAAATTGAAACAATCTGTTATCCAGGAAATGTCTTTTGAAATTAAATTTTATGACTAGATGTCAGAAGTGGGAAAGAGCTACCTGTCAAAGTTTAGAGTCATACTTGAGAGTTAGTTGGTATAGATTATTAGTTCATTCAAATATTGAGACCATGAAAATTATAAAAATCAATTAAGATTTTGGTATTATAGTATCAATTGTACCCTCTAAAATATTTCCCTGTACTGAAGTTTTGTGTATGTAATACCTAATAATAATTGGCAAAATAACATATGTATTAAACCAAAATTTTCTGATATAAAACTATTCTACTTTGTCTACAATTATTATAATTTAATTGACTTCCATTAGTTCTACAAGTGTAGGAAGAATTTCTCTAAAACCACTCCAAATGTATTTTTTTTCATAGTAAGCAATAATTATGTTTGTTATTCACATTTTCATTATCATCCAACATGGAAAGACTTTGAAAATTTCCACAAGATGCCGTTATATATTCAGATGAGAAGATCTGAGTCTGCCAAGCATGGTTGCACACACCTGTAATCTCAGGCACTGGGGAAGTTTAGTTGGGAAGGTCACAATTTCCAAGAAGAGTCTCAGCAACTTCATGAGACCCTGTCTCAAAATAAAATTAAATAAGGACAGAAGTTGTAGCTCAGTGGTGAAGCTCCCCTGGGTTCAATTCACAGTATCCCACTCTCCCAAAAAGGAAGATCTTATTTAGCTTCATTTACTCTTTGTGATCATGTTTGTTCATTCATTCTAATTATTGACATCTGCATACTTAAGCACCAGGTCATCAGTAGGAGATATAACAGAGATATAATGATGATTGAAACAGATGGGATTCATAACCTCATGAAATTCACCACATTTCTCTGCAATTTTATTTTCTTGTTTGTGAAAACATGCATTTGAAAGAACTGTGTAAACTGTACAATGATAAATACTAGTTATGTTCATATAATACTCTAGTTGAAAATTACATAATAAAGTATTATTTTCAAACATGCAAAGCTAATCTGAGTGGGAAAACATCCAATTTGGAGAATATTAATGATCTATGAGATTTTTAAAAAATATTAAAATGTAATATTATGATGAAATTATTTTTCTTTAATAAATCTATAATTTATTGAAACAACAGAAAGCAAATCTGAGAAAAAAGAGAAGTAGATGCTGAAGAGAGGCCTGGTGGGGCTCTTCACAGTTCTCTCTGTATTCACCTGTTGTTACCTCCTGTCATTAGAATTCTTTAAACTGAAAAAGACAAAAAGAAAGTGTAGTAAATTGAAGTCCGAATTATATTCCAAATGGCTATCACCATGAAAGAAAGGAGGACCTCCTTTGATGCTTCATTATCAAATGTACTTCAGATTTCAAGTGCAGAGTTAGTGTCCTGTCTTAGACATCAGAGTAACTTAGGATAATCTTCCTTTGGTCTCTGACTTCAGAAAGTAGTTGCAGGTCTCTATGTAAGCTAGATACAAACTGAATGTGAAACCACCAGCCTTCCATTTAAAGAATTATGACATTCAAATACAATACTTTCTGGACTCAAAAATTAGCTTGGCTAATGAGGAGGTTCAATGAAAAGTATTCAAGTCAAGCGGAAAGAAAGTAATCTAATTGTGTAAGCTTCTCCTTTGCGCCAAATTCTACGTTGTTCAGCTCAGATGGACAAATGCAATGATTGAAAGGTCTTGGTGATAGCGATGTATGTCAGACATGAAAAGAGTCAATGCAAGACATAGAAGAAAGCAAAGACATTTTGGTCATAAATATAACCATATTTATAGGAGGAAATTTTTTTCTTGTTGTTAAATGAAAGTAGATAGAAGCCTTCAGGTATAAGTTAATTGTCTTGCAGTGATACATGAATTATGTGTATTTTTAATGCAAGATAATACAAAGTAATAGAAGCTAGAAAATGTCCTCAATGAGAAAAAGTCAAATTAAAGCATTCTATATTTATTAAATGTTGGAAGAAACGAGCCTCTGCTAATTGGAATTATAACTGCCAGTATTTTGTTAGTCAACTACATTCAAAGCACTGTGCTAAACACTTCATGTATTATCTTATTTATCTTACAATCCTATACAGAAGGTATTATTATCAGCTTAACTTTTCAGTAGAAGAAGCCATATCTTAGCAGCATAGTTAGTGTCACAGGGCACACTGCTAGTCAAAGGGGGTTTGCATAATCAACTAATCATATATTTCACCACTATGTATTGTTAACTAAAAACTTCTTGACTGTGAACTTGTGTCCTAGGAAGTCTACCTGGGCCTGCTATTTTATCCCATTCTATTCTCTACCATCATCTCTATTTTTTCTGAACCATATATCAACACTTTCCCCTTATCTACCTACCTCAATGCATCATTTTGGTTAACATAAACAATAATTAAACATAGTTTGATATTTTGTTTCAGATTTCATAATCTCATATACAAAGTCCAAGTTTACATGCTAAGAACCAAGGTTATTTTGACTCTAGTAATAACTTCAGCCCAGAACCCCTTTTAACTCTCTGAATGGTAACAACTGTATTTTGTCTTTCAATGTGATTACATGCTACATACCAGTTTTTAGATATGCCCCAGGGTAACAATAAGCAGGAAAAGCTTCTGAAACCCATTTTTCTTACATGAGTCACAAACATAAATACCCATAAACAAGTATTTAAATACTATGCCACACACCCCAAAATCTCAGACAACCAATCCCATGGATTACAACAGACAATTAAAGAACTTTCTTTGTGAAGTTAAGTCATCTTGCTATGGGAGTTATTAACATCATTTGGGTTGTTTTTTCCAAAAACAAGAGGATGAGAATTTTGAAACTGTTCACCTATAATTGCAAGAGAAGACATATATCACAAGGGAGAAATGTAGTGGCCCAGAAGTGTACATCCTCTATGTTTACCTCATTTAACAATCTGCCTCCCTCCTTCACTATCAGCCCACATGTCTAGAGACTAAAGGAATCTAATCAGAAGTATAAATATGGCAGTAGACTTTTTTTAAAAAAAAACAGAATTTTATTTTCTCTATTCCTTTACTTATTTTTTTTTCTTTCATGGAGGCATATATGCTAATAGTTTTCAAACTCCATACATCACAGTATTCTACCTCTAAAACTCCAATATTTTAATTGTCATTGCTCACTATACAACAGAATCAGAAAGAAAGTTTTGTTTGCCGTAAGGAGGTAGACAACTCAGATATAGGCATAGCCTACCTCTGGAAATTGTGGAAAGATACATTATCAGAGCTGTATAAGGACTTCAGAGCTCTGCAGAGAAGAGTAGTACATGGAAAATACAAAGCTGAGACACAG